AGTTACAAGCCTTCCTGGGGTTATTGAACTTCTACGCTTCATTTCTCCCACACAAGGCGTCAGTTGCTGAACCATTGCACAGACTCTTAGACAGAAACACACCATGGCACTGGGGACCCAAAGAAAACCAAGCATTTGTGGCAGTCAAATCTCTACTCACCTCTGAGGCTGTCTTAATACAATTTGACCAACGCCTTCCCTTGGTCCTAGCCGCAGACGCATCCCCTTTTGGGATAGGAGCTGTCTTAAGTCACAGGCTTCCCAATGGCTCCGAGGCACCAATTGCCTTCTTTTCAAGAACCCTTTCAACGACTGAGCGTAATTACAGCCAGGTTGATAAGGAGGCCTTGGCTGCAGTAGCAGCAGTAAAAAAATTCCACGAATTTCTATTCGGACACCAATTTGAACTTATTACTGATCACAAGCCGCTTTTAGGATTATTATCAGGGGAAAAGCAAACCCCACAGATATTGTCACCTAGAATGACCAGATGGACCTTATTCCTGGCGGCGTACTCATACAAACTGGTCTATCGTCCCGGAAAAAATCTAAACAACGCTGATGCCCTCAGCCGCTGCCCCTTGCCAGCCCCAGTCGAGGACCCAGCTCCTGTGCATACTATTTTTGATGTAAACGAACTAAACCTACCGGTGACTGCAGACGACATAGCATCACATTCCAAGAAGGACAGAACAATCGCCCAGGTTCTGGACTGGGTAAGGAGGGGGTGGCCGGAAACTAACTATTCAGTTGATTTCGCCCCATTTAAAACTCGCCAGCTAGAGCTCTCCAAGTTGCAGGGATGCCTATTGTGGGGTACCAGAGTGGTCATACCAACCACCCTTCGCATACCCGTCCTGAAGATGCTGCACGAGGGCCATCCAGGAATCGTGCGGATGAAGGCGTTAGCTCGAAGCTACGTCTGGTGGCCCGGGATGGACGATCAGATCGCCAAGTGGGTAAGCTCGTGTCGACCCTGTCAAGAATCTAGGGCAGCCCCGCCAACCGCCACACCCACAAAGTGGGAAAGTGCCAATGCCCCGTGGTCACGGCTTCACATCGACCTGGCCGGGCCAATGCACGGCAAGACCTTCTTGGTGGTCGTGGACGCCTATTCAAAATGGATAGATGTGGCCTTACTTCACACGACCACCACACAGGCAGTTGTTAAAGCCTTGACTCACCTTTTTGTAACTCACGGACTCCCTGACACACTGGTATCCGATAATGGCCCCCAGTTCACCTCGAACGAATTTAGTAGGTATGTCACAAATCTAGGCATCAGACACGTCCTCACGGCCCCCTTTCACCCCGCCAGCAACGGTTTGGCTGAACGGGCCGTCAGATCAGCCAAGGAGGCGTTAGCCAGATTCGGCCCAGTGGGTTGGCATTCTAAACTGTCTCAATTCCTCCTAAGCCAGCATACCACACCGTGCACAGTTACGAACAAATCCCCGGCTGAGCTGCTGATGGGGAGACGCCTGAGGACTGCCTTAGACAGGCTGCACCCCCACTACTGCCCAGACACCCCTTTGGGGTCTGACAGTCTGGCCAGGAATTTCGCAGTTCAGGACCTAGTGTTTGCTAGGAACTACGCGGGGGACCCACTGTGGGTGGCCGGAAAAGTCGTGGCTGTCACGGGTCCGAGATCTTATCGGGTCCAACTTGAAGATGGTCGTATGTGGAGAAGACACCTGGACCAGCTGCGGAGGCGACGGAGCAGCCTGACCAGCCCAGACCCGTCTCCACCAGAAGAGCCGCGGGCGCCACTCCAAGGTCCAGCTAGGGGTTCCCAGAGTGACCAACCTTCACCAACGGAGCAGACAGAGCAGGCAGTAGACCGGGACTGCCAGCCGGGAGCACCACCGTTTAACCCCAGTGAAGGCAGAGACTTTTCACTGGCTCCAGTTCCTGCACCGAGCCCTGGTTGCCACACTACGTACCCTGACCTGGAGTCCGCGAACTCATCTTCGCCAAATGAATCTCCTGAGTTACGTCGCTCAGGTCGCCAACACAGACCACCGGCGTATCTCAAAGATTATGTGTGTTCTCATCTGGGGGGAAGGGGTGTTATGTCTTGGGAACCGGTTGGGGCTCCAACCGGGTCCACTCGTTAAGCAAGTTCAACAGCCGTTCCTATTGGCTGGCGTCGTTTGACAGCCGGCTATAAAAAGCCGGCTGTCAAACCAAGCCATCCGTTGTTCGCAAGCCAGTCTGCCCGTTTGGCTGGCAGACGCGACAACCACTGTTCCTTCAATAAACGTGTTAATTGCATGCCCTGGTCTAAGCCTCTCTTTCCCTTGAAATACAACAGAAAGGTAAATGTAGTTTACAGACTGATGAGCATACCTCCCAAATTCCAACAGCAGATTGAAGGGAGGTATGTGTCGTGCATGGTGATTGGTTGATCTGATTTCCTGCTCTGCGTGTTGCTGTTCGAATGCCCCCTATGTTAACATTTGCAGAAATATAAATGGAACATCTATCTGTCCTTGAATAACAAGGTGCTTATGTTCCCTGACATGTGAGGCCAGAAAAGTCTGCTTAACCCATCACCCAGCAATATCAGGGAACTATTCCAGAGTCACCTTGTGAACTGCCACTGTCTGGAGGATCTTGTGGGGTGATTTCTATGATTCTAATCTAGGAGAGTCATACACACTTAGGTAATCTGTTTCCTGTTCACAAATTGGAAATGCTTCTAGCTGGAAGAAACATCTTGGACTGATCAGTTGGTCATATTCTGTCGGAAGCCCCCTAAATAACACTAAAAGTCATAATTTAGCATACTACATCCACCAACATTGGATTAAATAGCAATAGACTTACATAGTGCTTTACAGCCCTCTCCATTTTAGTTTAGTTTAGTTACTTTATTGTCATTGCACCTCGTACAACGGAATTAAATGCCATATTCAGTGTGCATTATAAAAATAAAATACACATCCTTCACATTCTATACAATTGAATTGAAAACTTAAATGATTTGATATGGGACAAGTGTAAACCTCTTAAGTCAGCATATTGCCCCCAACAATTTGGGTCCTCATTTTACCCACTTTGGAAGGATGGAAGGCTCAGACAATCTTGAGCTTGGTGAGATTTGAACTGCCAAATTACAGGCAGTCAGCAGTACTGCATTCCAATCACTGCACCATTGTGGCTCAATAAATTTTCCTTATATGTTTTAAATATATTTTATTTGTAATTGTACTCATTTGTAAATGTAAACTTAAGAGTAGATCAGCTTCTTAAGCGCAGACCAGCAACAGATTCATAAAAATATTTTACATTGGGGCAAAATACCTTTAAGAGCAAGTTAAACATTTTAAGATTAACAAAGAGTGCAAGATAAGAGTTCAGTGAGCTTTCACTTTTAGCAGGATGGTTGTGATCAATATTAGAAACTATTGTTGAAAGAGGATGCAAATCTGCATAGACTAGACTGAGAAAGGTCTGGATATGCTGCCTATAGGATGGAGAATTGGAAGTTATTAAGAAAGGAGGGAAATCCTGAAATGTTCCCGAGAATCAATACTAGCCCTAAATTTTGTAGGCTGTTCCATGGGTGGGGAGAAGGGAATGGATGTTCTTATATTATTTTCTAGCCTTACAAGCAAATCACACTGATAAGTAGAGTAAAATAAATTTTGGAAATTTTTCACACAATTGACAACATTGAATGCAGCTTTTTTGCTTTTTCTGTTCCTGTTGAGTAAATAAATCTGCTTTCAATAGGTTTCCCAGATTAGTTCTAAGATAGACTCCTTATGCTTTCAAGCATGCCATTAATTTCCATCTCTAGACCCAGCAATGACATAAGCAGCTTCAATACCTCTTTGTTTGTTGCCCTTCCCTTAGAGCAGGGGTGTCAAACTTGATTCCAATGAGGGCCGCATCAGGTTTGAGTTTGATTTCAGGGGGCAGGGTTGGGCAGGGTGGGCATGGACAGCTTGACATCACTCACGTGGCCTGAGCGCTCTGCCAGTGAAAATGGGCTCCTGAACTCCATTTTCAGCTGTGACAGCTTCCTGCAACCCTCTGCCAATGAAAACAGAGCTTGAGAGGGCCACCCGCAGTCCTCCCGAGCTCTGCTTTTGGTTGTGACGGTGTCCTGCAACTCTCTGTTGGCAAAAATGGAGCTTGGGAGCTCAATTTTTGCTGGCAGAGGCACTATGGGCTGGTCCTTTGCTGTTTCCAGGGTGATCCCATAGGCCAGATCTAAGCACCCCATGGGCCAGATCTGGCCCCTGGGCCATGAGTTTGACACCCCTGCCTTAGAGCATAAATACACTTCTGTTTGACTTGCTTAATTTTCATCTCTAGACTCAGCAATGACATAAGCAGCTTCAGTACCTTTTAATTTGCTTAAAAGTTGCTTAATTATACAACTTTTAACATCTATATAATGTTCTCTAGCAAAGGAGGACACTATAAATTAAGCTGAGTTGAATAACAACACGAATATTTACAAATTGAGAATAACATCCCATGTCCCATATCAAATCATTTTGCATATTGTGATTGAAAGGCAGGATAAAAAAGAGAAATTGGTTGGTAGGATAGCAAAACTGAAGTAGGGTTCAAGTTAACCGGATGATTAAGAATTTTGAAGATGACATTTATGGACAGTAATTCTGCATCTTCATCATCTTATTAATTGTAAATTACTATAACTATTTTTCTAATATTTTATTGCCTTTCAATGTTAGCTGACCTCCAGGCAGGATGGTCGGCAAACAAGTCTAAAAAATAAATAAAATCAATCAATCATGCAATGGAATCTTATTTTCAAACCTATTTTTATTTAATTCCATTGTAGTTTGCACAAGAGAACTGATATTCAGTTATCCAAAGCTGACAATTCCGGATAATTTTAAAAAATGCATACAAAGAAAAACTGTTACAGAAAGTTAATGATTATTACGTTCAAATATGATTAGATGTTATAAAACAGAGTGGCCTTCCTCCTGATTGGTCCTCTTGGAGTCTTCAAGTTTGTTACTGAAAAAAAATTATTTAGTTCCATCCACTTGAGCAAGAACACTTGAACATTATAGGAAAACAGTAAGTAAAAATTAAGTTTATTGCTGTACTGAGATCTGAGTGTTATCAATTAACCTTTGTAGTATTTTTTTCTGAAAGTGTTAATACTATATTGAAACAGATATTGAATGTTGTACTCTGTTTTCAAAACTCATGGATGAAGTTTTATTATTTTTTCTTCACCATATGTTGTTTTTAAAATTGTGACTTTGCTTTATAATAATTATGAGTACCCATATTAATCGGTATTGCAGCTGCAACTATTATATAAAAACAGATTGTGTTTTACACAAGAGGGAGACATTCCAAATACCTTTGTTTCTGGAAGAGCATTTTACATTACTTTCATACATTTTTTATGTATTTTATTTATTTATTAGATTTTTGCACTGCCTATTTCACCTAAGAAGTTTATAATAAAAATATAAAAAGAGGTATAAAAGCATAAATACAACAAAGATAATACAGTTAAGAACAAAATTAAAATTGAGAAATTGTAAGTTAAAACAGGCAAAGGGAGCACCCTTGTATCAGCACTCACCTAATACACTTCTACCTATGCCAATTGGTAAAGTGAGGTTTTAACACTCTTTCAGAAAGCTAGAAAAGTGTGGTTTCACCTCCTCTCTAGGAATAAGGTGTTCTGAAGAGCAAGAGAGGTGGCAGAAAAGTATATATATGGCATTCAGCTTTGTTTGGGTATTTTCCCATGTCATTGTAGTTGTGCTTTTAAAGTTGTAACATGAAGCCTGATGATGGCAGATGAGATTCTGCCAAAATGTTGCTACAACTTTAAAAGCATAACTACAATGATGTGGGAAAATACCCGAAGAAAGCTGAATGCCATACATGTAAGTACCCGCGAAAACGTAAGAATATATATATATATATATATATATATATAATATAATATAATATAATAAAAATAAAAAATATATAGTACATATTGTAATTATATATAAAGATATATATAGAGAAGTAGAATATAGGTTGTCTTTCTTTTTTGATTATTATTCAGAACTCTGCATATTAGCCAAGGGAGCAAAATACTAGATTCATGTTTGAAATCTTCCAGGGCAATGTACGATGTTTGCTTATCTGCAAATGAATAACCAAGAATTAACATGGACAGCGGAGAGAAGCAGCCACCTCAGGAAATGTGCAGAAACACATTTTTTAAAAAGTTTTGATAAACGGTAGGGGGGAGAAAATGCGGAAAAAGGTTGACCAACCTGTTATCTGAGAAAGATACTGCACTGTCAGATTGCAGATGGTGAAAATTGAAGATACTAGGACCTGCTTCAGTATTTGACTTTCTAAATGAGAATTTTTATTTTTCCAATCTAATGGAATGTTGGGAAGAAATTATGCAAGGGACTTGGAACTCTGTCCCTCTGTTCATCAGCAGGACAACACTACAAAAGCAGCACAGCACAGTACGAAATGTGATATGGCAGGAAAGCTTGTAATATAAAGTTTGAGTTCTAAAAAGGAACTGGGAGTGGTATATGATTCACATCCACTCACATCCACCCACAGAGAGACAAACACAAGGAGGGGGAGCAATTGCCCACATATCCCTACGTGTGAAGCAGTTAGCAGTTGGAATGCTGGCAACTCTTGAATTCTTAAGTCTCTCTTCTGTCACAGGACCCACCAGAGCTGAACTGCTATTATGAAGTTGGAATGAATTCCAGAACTGCATGCTTCTCTATATTCTTGTGGCACCAGAACCAATACTCTAAGTTGCCAAGGCATTATAAAGTGTTACTAAAATGTCATGTGATCTGATCCTATGTTAATGCAGTCTAGGATTGCATTGGCCTTTTTGATGGCTGCTGGCTCATATTTAACTGATTGTCCTCTAGGAGTCCCAAAATCCCTCTTTACTTAATTTGTTCTCAGGTTTTCATCCTATCTTTCCCTAGCTCTCCTTTAAGTTAGTTGAAATCCACTTTTTTAAAGTTTAGGCTGTCAACCACCTCCATGTATTTTTCTTGTAGTCCTATAGCCAAATCATCATTGTATCCAATTTTGCATTCTTTTGTTGCTGGCTGATATCTAATATGTATAAGTTGAATATTGTAGGTGCCATTACAGAGCCTTGTGAGAAGCCATTGTTTAATTGCCTAACCTTACTTACGTTGTTCCTTCATTATTATCTGAAAGGACCTATCACTCAGCACATTATTAATTTTAGCCGATAAGACATTTTTTGCAGGGGATAATATGGCACAATTTGTATAACAACTCTTCTTTCCAAACTTTGTCATATGCCAAAGTTAGGTCTACCAACATGGCTGTGATTTTGAGGCATTGTTGGAAACGTACTTGGCCTACACCACAGATATCAAACTTGCAGTGTAACATTGCCATCAAGTGATGTATCACAATGTTTTTTCTTTTTGCCAAGCTGGGGTGGGTGTAGTCTCTATGTGATGCATTTGGCCTACTGGCCACCAGTTTAATATAGTTCTGGTCTTGCAGGAAGCCTGCTTGTTCTACAGGCAGATGTTCATCTATTGTCCTGTTCTTAATCTTTCCAACAATTCATAGCAGAAGCTCAAAATTGGGTAATAGCTTTCATCTCTGTCTTATGGTTTGCAAGATTTTAGAAGTGATATTATATTTTAGGTTTTTTTGAATTCTGGCAGGAGGCAGCTGTTGGAAACTACATCTAAGAGGTATTTACCAATCCAATTCCATGTCACCTCCCAGAACTTATCAGGAATTCTGAATGAATGCCAGTGCTTACATTTCAGACAATGTGAATTTCCTTTATAGAGAAGCATTTGGCCTGATAGCCAAAAAGCTGAAAAGGCTTTCTTGAAGAGAGTTGAGTGTCTTTTTGTACTTGGAGCTTCGGAGACAGATACAACTTGAGAGGTTATTTGGTCAAGATAACCTAGTTATTTGTCGGGCGGGTTGTCTAGGTCCACCCAGTTTCCTTCAGGGGTTCCAAACTTTCCTGCTGGATTGCTGAAATTTAGTGATTCTGTATATTGTTCCCACTTTTTCCATCAAGCTGAGTAAGAGATTGATTGAATGTGATTTCTGGATCACCACTCTGTGGGAAAGTTTGGTAGAGTCCCCCAATCTCTTCATTCCATTCTGGTATGTATTCTCTGCTAAATCCTTGAGGTATATGTTTTTTATCTGCAGAAATTATTGCTTTATGAATTTATGATAATGCTGGCTACTTGGTGGAACCACTCCATAGTTTTATGAATATAGTCAGAAAAGTTGGGTTTTTGAAAGTTCCATGAGGGTAGAGCAAATTTGGATTCCAATTTCTAGCAAAATAGAACAGTATTGGCTATGCAGGTATTTATCATGATGTATTTGTGATGGCTATTGAAGTCACCTTTGTGGATTGTTGGGTGCAGTTTGCTGTTTGGGATATGCTGTGGGGCCATGCTGTCAGAGATAGTTCACTCTGTTAGATTGCCTAGTATGGAAACTACTTCATGTATATTGTTTGTAGATGCAGACAATAAGGATACATTCTCTACATTCTTTCTAATCTATGTAGCTTAGACATGTCAAACTCAAGGCCCATGGAGATGGTGAGGGACCAGCCCAGAGGTGGTATTCGGCAGATTCTCACCAGTTCTGGAGAACTGGTAGCGGATATTTTGAGTAGTTTGGAGAACTAGCAAATACCACCTCTGCCTGGAGATTTTACAGTATCCTTCCTCTGCGACACCCACCAACCCACGCCCACAGAACTGGTAGTAAAAATATTTGAATCCCACCACTGGACCAGCCCTTGTCACTTGGCCTGGGCCTTCCCCACCCCAGATTGGCACTCCCTTTGGGTGTGCGCAAAGGAAGTGATGAGTGTGTGGGGGCTGGCAGTGCCCAGCAGTAGCTGCAGTTCTTTGGCTCCTCAGCCCAGTGTGCAGTTGTCCTCCTCCAAAGGTGGCTGTCATGGTGCCTGGCACCTTACTATTCCAGGCCACAGCTCTGCATCTGGCATGAGTGCCACATTTCCCTCTCTGACTCTGTCACACAATGGAGAGGGTGACCAGGAGCCAGACCCCACTGATGCTTGGCTTGTGGGGTTGAAAATGCTTTGTTGGAAAAGCCTAGTTCAGGGGTCTGCAACCTTAGACACCCAAAGAGCCATTTGGACCCATTTCCCATGAAAAAGAAAACACCAGGAGCCACAAAATCTGGGTGGATGTGGCCAACTTGACATCACTCACTCCCACCCAATCACATGACCCCTTAGCTAGATTGGTCATTAAGTCAGAGAACCAGTTGTTAAAAAAACACCAGGAACCACAAAACCCTTTTGACATCTCTCTCTCTCCCCCCTCTCTCTCCCCCTGTTATGTATTTCTCTTTCTGTGTCTCTTTATGCCCCCCCACCCCCTTCTCTATCTCTCCCCCTTCTCTCTGTCTCTCTCTGCCTCTCTCTCCTCCTCCCTCCCTCTCTATCTCCCCCTTTCTGTGTATCTCTGTCCATCGGTGTCTCTCTATCTCTCTCTCTATTTCCCCTAACTCTGGGAACTTTTGGGAAATCTGGGCTGGTTGAGGAATGAGCGCAAGCTGTGGTGCAGGCTTCCCCAAAGACAACCCTACTCCTCCCCCTCCTTCCCCTCTCTTGATCCCTTGATTGGCTCTAATGGGGCTGGGAGGGTGCACATGAGTCCAGATACCCTCAAATAAAATGGCTTGGCTTGGCCAAAGTGCAGCAAAGGTGCACGAGGCAGATAGGCAGGTTGACCAGCTGATGAGTGAGCATCTTTGGTGAGGGCACTCAAGCTTTCTCTGAGCCTGACTCTCAAGGTGGCCAGGTGAGGTTTGGCATAGCCAGTCCCCTTTTCCCATGCTGTGAGCTTCTTACTCCTCCAGCAGAGCAGAGCAGTGCTGCTGCTGGCTTTGATTGAAAAGCATCTTCCAGGTGGCAAAAGTCCTACATGCAAGATTTAAAACTGCAGCTGGGCACTGCAGGCCATCCCGCTTTCTGTCATCCCATCCTCCCGGATCCCATTCCCAACCCGCCAGCCCTCGTG